TCGTGCCTTTTTCTACAGGTTAAGGTATGTTGCCTAATAAATAGTTTGTATTTATATTTGTGCAAAAATGTCTGGTAGTCCCTTTTTTAGACAGTCAGACGGCACAGTATTTGTTTTTCTGTTTCTAGAGCCGCTTTTTTCTCCCCCTTTTATACAGCCACTGGGAAAAACTGTGTTTAAAGCTGTTGGTGCAGGCCTGTGTGACTAAGTCTGCCAGATGGAAGACTGGCGAAAAGAGAGTGTCCTGGGTGGGCTGGGTGGCTGCAGGTCTTTGTGCCTTGCCAGAGGGTATGGTTTGAGTTGATCTCCTCTGAGCGAGGGAGTGGGGAGCCAGAGATCAACAGAGCAGTCTTGATAACCCGTTTTTTTTTTTTTCAGAGGTAGTTATTAGTTAATCATTTTCATTACTAACTAAATGGACAGCTGATAATCTATTTGAGAAGAAATCATTGATACTAAATAATCTTCCCATATAAATGAGTAAGTTACTTGTAAGAGTGTTACAAAGTAGTCTTTGAAAATAACAAATTTGAAATTTAAGGTTAATTCGAGTCATTTTTCTCACTTATCCTTTTTTTCTCCATTATCTAAAGTGTTAAGCAATTAAACTACCCTATATTTCAACCTGAAGAGGGTCTCTACTGAAAACCTACATCTACTTGAACCTACTGGGGCTTAAAGAGATGAAAGCAGATGAAAACATAAATGAAATATGTTCTCTGGCGCTCGGGCCCCGCAGAAGACTTCGATGCTGTGAATCAAAATGCACTTGGACGAGTAACCTAGAAAAGGATTAGATTAGTCTTTCCCCAGGGCCCAGACGCTGGTAGTGGAATAAGCCAGAGGATGAGTGGGAGTGAGAAAGAGGGAGGAGATGAGGTGGAGGTGGGTGGAAGTTTGTTTGCGTGCGGGAGAGAGAAGCTGGGCCAGGAGCTAAATGAAGGGGATCTTGAAAGATGATTGGCTTCAGAGAGGGCGGGCCCCCGAGTTGATTAGCTGGAGCTGAACGAGGGACAACACAGATGGTTCACGTGAAGCGTGAATCATTTTATTATAACATATTTTTCTGTATAGAGGGCTGTAATCTACAATAGTAATGGAAGACAAACTCAACTGGTCTGTGGGATGTCTATGATCTTTACAGTGAGCAACTGTGCACTGGTCCTGAAACAGACTTTTTTAAGCTCTAATTTCAGAATCAACAGAGTCGACTTGGTGAAAAAGTAGTACTCACTACAGTACAACACTGCTCAAATCAGAATACCTCAGGAAACATAGGTGCTGAGCTGGTGTGTGGGTTGCTTTTGGATTGGCATTTATGTGAAAAAAAAATGTGTCATTAACTTTGAATGGAAATACTCACAAAAATGGAAGTGTGCAGAATTTTTCTTTTTTTTTTTTCTATGAATAGCCCGACAGTCATCATCTTATTCATCATATACAGTAAGAAGCTTTTTACAGCTCATGAGCTAAATCGTATCTCTGAATGTTTCAAATGAGTCATGACAGGAAAGAATTTTATCAGCTTTAAGTTGCTATCACCATAACAGTTTCACTGTTTCAGTTAGCCATGAATTACACAGCAGTCGCAGTATGTGTGGCATGTGGTGAGTGGGAGCAGTCCACAGATTCTGGGATCAGGACTGAAAGAGTTTGTGGTTGAACAGAGGCCACCATCATATTATTATCTGCTAATATCCAAACTATTCTTGCCTGAAATCCTTACGGTTGGTCCATATACATTTTATGAATTTGTTGAAGGACTTAATTATGAGTAAAGTTGTTTTTCGAGTGCAAAATATAATTGATGATCCTGTATAGAGATGCAGTTCATTTATATACGTCTTTTACATTGATACATGCAACTGTTGTCAATATAAAGGCAAAAACAAAAATAAAGGTGTGGAAAGATGAAACAATTAAACAAAAACTTTATTTTCTCCTTAAATAGACCCACTTTATTAATGATTTTTATGTAGATTTGGAATCAGGGTGGTGTGAAAGAATACCATCCATTTTCTAAAAAAAATAAATAGAAGTATTTGCAACCATTTACAAACAATAAGGTCTAAACCGAATGCTAGATAAATTTGGCTATTGTTTCCTCCATTTTTTTATTTATAAAGTACCAGACATTCAAAATAGCCCATCCCAGTGAAACGTCAGCCGAATGGTAGCCCACTTCCCTCCAACTCCCAGCAAAATCCCCTCCAAATTCCAGCCACTGAAGTGATCCCCACTTGCATATTTTTCTTACTCTGACTCCAACCTTCCACTGAATTACAGGATCTGACCAGGAGATTATGCTTCTCTTTAGATCTTAATTTCCACAAATCATGACAGAAAGAATATTTTAATACAAATGTTGATGTTTTAAAAGGAATTGAAGGGAACCAAACAAGGTCCACCCAAGGAATAGTCAAGACCCATCAAGGAAAGTGGGGAAATCTTTAATGGCTACTACTGTAATGCCATGGTCTATATAAAATTAGATTTTATTGTCCTTGTCCTAACAGATGCATTTGTAGAATGATATTTGGATTCTTTTAACCTACCTGCAAAATACGGTGTTAGGCAATAGATTCAAGTGCATTAAATAATGCAAATGATGAAAAAAATTCTGAAAGGAGAGCAATCCTTGATAAACTTTAACAGTTTAGCAGAAAGTAAATGAGAGCAATTCAACATAGCTTTTAAGGTTTTAAATAATAGAGATAATGCAGAGTCTTTCCTTAATGTTTTCCTCCAGGAAATGTAAGGTTTTTAGCTGAAACATAAATAATAAATCTACACATTGTATGTGGAAAGAATTTAGAAATAATTTATCATGGATAATTTTCTATATTGTTCACATTATAAAAAAGTGTAATTTTATCAGGAGTGCTGTACTGTTTCCCCATTCTGGACTTTGATCCAACACTGTAGCTGATTTTAATCTGTTTTTTTAATAAGAGACCTACTGATATTGCACATCGGTGGTAGATTTTTGTGTGCAACATAATGCTTATTTGTGCAAAATAATGCTCATTTCAAATGTACAGAAAGCTAAGCCATAAAAAGACAATGATGGTCAGAAGTCCTGTCTGTGTAAAATATTTTAATCCATTTGATTAGAAATGCTAAGCTGTGGAAGTTGGCTTTGGAAAAGTAAACAATTTCACAGCTGAAGGCATTCATCTGTTGGCAATTTCTCCTTGTCAAATTTCACAACAAATGTATTATGATGCCAGTGAAATAATTAATGACTGCTAAAATGTTGTAACACTTACACAGGAAATCATTCAGAGGTGCACTTGAAATAATAATGAAAAAAGTGAGGGCATAAATAATGTGTTGTTGTGCCCAACATACATCTTGTATTCAGTGGTTGTCATGTTTGCTGCCATGCTAAAGCTTTTTTTTTTTTTTATTGTAGCAGCTTTACAATTTATTGTGAAAACTGGCACAGGATCTGGATCATTACCAAGGTTTGATGAATTGTTCCTTGGCTTGAGGTGCACCTTTGGCAACAATTTTCTTTAAATCCTTTTATAAGTTTCTAAATAGAGCACAGTGTGTGTCTGCAGCCGTGGTGTTTTCTGCTCTCACCTTCATTCACTATGTTTTCATGTTTGATCTACAGATCGAGATTTTGAGTGAAGCATGGTTCCCTTTTCCTGTGTTTTTTGTCGTCAGTATAATACTTCTGGACTTTTTTTAGCACAATGCTGAAGCTGAATCACTGCTGCCACTCTCTGGGTAAGTGGGGAACTGCTTGTTCTGCCAAATAATGTTAAAGGCATAGTGGAGGATTTTCACAAATTTTTGAAAAGACCCACCCTCACAAAAAAAAAAAAAAAAAATGCACATGCAGAACCCTGTACCCACTCCTGAGAGGGAATGCCTATTAAACATGTGCGAGGGCGTGCACGAGCCCATGTCTCCTCATTTAAAAGCTGCTGTTTACAGCAACTTTACAGAAAGCCCATATTCTTATCTTCAGGTAACACAGAGTACATGTCTGATTAAACAATACTACTTAAACTTCAGCGATAGTATCTAGGTGTTACTTTATTGTACAGTATGTCTCGTACCATGTCAGTTGGTTGAACTGTTCTTTTTCCATCTATTTGCAGGTGATGAAGCAGACTGAAAATGTTTTATAATTATCTCCCTTTTATCTCCTATTTGTTTCATATTTTCTCCTTTTTTTCTGTTTTTCCTTTCCTGTTCCACCTACATTGCAGTGTCCATATAATCTGTAAAACTCTAATTCTAATAAAGCAATTTATATGCATAGAACAAGCGGAACTCTATGGCGATAGCCGTACTGCTCCACTTGTGAAAGTAAAATCTGTTGGGCTCTTTTTGGCATCAAGACAATTATTCTTATTGCCACATCGACAGACAGGACACTGTAAAAAAAAAAAAAAAAAGTTTCTGTTTGCATCGCTCATACAGCTTACTTTCTAAAAGAAGATTTGCAAATGTTCCACTGTAAGACTCACCACTGGTAAGTGAAAATGGGGATGAGCATGTAGGAATGCCATACATAAACATATCCCCAGAATTATTGAGAATTAGGAGGACCACTTGTTTTGATGATCCACCCAGAAAAAGAACATCCTCCATTATACCTTTAAGTAATCCTTAAAAAAACCTGCATCCACATTATTATGTTGATCATCACCAAACTCAAGTAAAAACGGAGACGGCTGTAAAAAAAAAACAAAAAAAAAAACATGGTGATGCAAAACTGAATTTCTCTGCCCTTTTCCTATCTAAATATGAAAGAAAGAACTTTCCTACATGTGTACTGACATGCCTTTTACCCTTTTTCACAATCTGTGTAGCTATGGCCTTTCACCTAAAGGTACTCACAAAATAGAGCACATTTACAAGTGGACAATTACATGCATGTAGCACTGACAGAGGTTTATATGATTTCACCTCAATTTAAAAACCCCACTGGACATATGTGTTTTTCAAAGGGTGCCAAAACCACTAAATGATCCACTTACCTAGCCAGTGTTCTCCTGTGATTTTGCCAAATCCTTCACGGTATGACTCCCATCCCCTGAAGAAGTTGACCGAGCCATCCTCCCTTCGCTGAATCACCTAAACGATCAAGACAGCAAGACAAGAGGCAAAGAGGTCAGACGGTTTTTCATCTCACACAGAGCGCTTCATCATTCTTTGTGATGAGTCATTCTCTGTCCCACTGATCGTCACTAAGCTCAAGTAGAACTAAACTAAATGAACTCATAAATGCTCGCTCCTTTGCTAATGAATAATGCAAATGCTCTATCCGCTAAAAAGACAATTTGTTGGAAGCTAATAAAGGGAATCCATTAAATCTTGACTGACTTTGAAACAAATTGCTATGGAATGTGCCTACGTAGCTGAGATCCCAGCAGAGAGATTATATTCATACAACAATTGTTCTATAAACACACAAATGTTTCACTAAAAGGAAAAATGCAATTATAAGCAAATAGCAGATTCTGATTCACCCTGTGCACATGCATCTGCATCTTCTAATAAAATATAAACTTGAACTGCTGACATGACAAACTGATGAGGAGGAAATAGAAATGTGTTCCTCAAGAGTGAAATTACTGAGCAGATCTTAAAGAAGTATGATTAGAAGACTGCACTAATGTTTTAAAGGTAAAGGGAAATCCTTAAGACAGTGGATCCTCACCATGAATAATCTTTCTTAAATTCCAGAAGGAGCAGATGGCAAAGACAGCAGTTTTTCCTTCTAACATCTGTACTGACAAAGAAATCCAGCTGAGCAACAATAATTGTCCAGATTATTCCCATTATGCAACAAGAAAGTCTTGATCTAAAACACCTTCATCATCATTAAGCTACATTATCCTCAGATGTATATTTTTGACTTTTTGACATCGTAAAGGAAACATGCAATTATTTTTTTGGTTCTTGCATACAAGGAAAAGGTTCATTGTCTAGCCTTTATTTTCAGACTGTCATGACAAGTATCACAACAAGGGATTTTCTGCCTGGTCTTGAAAGGTTTTTATGTATTAAAACACATCAAACTTGTTAGCAAGTGCAAAGCTGATCTTCCAAGCAGATGAAATTTGTACCACATGTGTAAAATGAGCAGAACAGTGGGCAAAAATTTTATTCACATGTGCCTATATGAACATTTAGATCGTGTTCTTATGAGCAAAATAATTCAGGTGCAAATTCGCAAGTACAAAATTCTACGGTTATTATCGCTACAAAGGAGGCACTGGCATGACGATGAGTCTGTGTGCATGTGAAAATATTTAGATGGCCAGAAATACAATGTGTCGAATAATATTAGGGAAAAAGTGAAAAATGCAATGACTAAAGAGAAATCTTAAAGCTGAACTTGGGATAAATAAAGTATTATTGAATGGAATCATTTAGAAAAAAATCAATGAAAAAGTTCAACAGCCACCATAGATCAAACATGATTGACGGTGCCACACTGAAGTACAAATCTTTTTCTTCCTTGTTGTTCCATGATGGGCTCTATATGTAGCACAACTATGTTTTATCAAATCCCTATTGGCCTACTATGTTTTGCAATATATTAGATGAAACGGATGTTGTGAGTAGCGAAGGTAAATCAAGTTGTTAAGTTCTAAATTCTGCTGCTTTTATTATAACTTTTATTTTCATCTTTTATTTTCTCACTTTTGTTTTCAGCACTTTTAAACAATGTATAAAAAATGCACTATTAATAATGTTGAAGAATATTATTTTCATTTTTTTATTTTTATTATTTTACAATTGATATCATCTCAACCTACATGGCTTTAAACTTTTACTGCCACATTTAAGATATTAGTTTATTTCTATGTAGTTTATTTCTAGTAATTTGCTCATTTTAATGGTGGAGACCAAACCTGTTTTCATGTCTTACCCTTTGTGCTCTCAATCTTTATAGATACCCCACAACATATGCATATATATACACAACAAAATAAACATTTAAAAAACAATGGTGGTCTAATACTTTTCAGATTTAATCTAATTCAAATATACTTTATTGATCACAAAGATAAGTTATTGTAAGACATAATGACATTTCTATTAGAATGGGCTTCTTAGTGTACCCAAAAATAATAAAATAAATTAAAAACCTAATGCAAGTTTAAGATTACCATTGAAAAATCTGGTTTGACAAACCCTCAATATTAACTGCTTACACATAATCTATTTAAGGTTTTGCTGATGCAAACGCACTGTTCAATTTTTGAGGCAGGAAAAAAAAAAAGTAATTTTTCCATTAAGGCTTCATGAGCACAGAGCTACTCAAAAAGTCTTGGTTGTTGAAGCATTATTCCTTTTACCCAAAAGCAAACGCCAACCTCATCTTTGAACTAAACCTTACACTTGACGCAATGAAGTCAGTCAAGTGATAAATCCAGACTTTTCACTGAATATTTAGGACAGAGGCAGGATTCATTACCTATAGCAAAAAGATAATGTTCTCAGAAGCTTTGGTTTGGTTTGGCTTTTTATTATGTGTTGATTGGTTATTATCAAGATGAGCAAGATTACAGAAAAAGTTGCAGACAGACTTCTCTATTTTTCTATTTATTTATTTAACCTCAGGTGTGTCTTAGTCAAACTTACAAGTTATTAAACTCTGTTGGTGATCTGGACCACAATTCAGATTTAAGGACATTTTAGAAAATACCTTAACATTGTAAGAAGGAGCAGGACTTTTCAAAGTGTGAAGCTCGCCTCTCCTATGGGGTGCCATAACTTTAGGTAAAAGTAAGCAGGATTATTTGTGGAGATCGATTTCCCACATTTCTCCAAAACAGCTCTACAGGTAGGCCTACTCATACTGTTTACTTCTATATACCTGTTTGACTGCAAAAACAAGTAAAAGAAACTATTATCAATGGGGAAAAGTGGACTAACATAACACTGCTGTAGCCTTATTGCATACAATATGATGTTAACACTGGGTGCAACTTTTAAAGTTGTCTCCCTAAAGAAGTTGCATAAAAAACAGACACAGAAAAAACTATTTGTCTACTAAGACAATTACATGAATAGCTGTATAGAAGCAGAATTTAAAAAAGGAACAGAATCATGCAAAGTGTAAAAACAGTGGATTTAATAAGCAGGAAAACTCAGGAGAGAATGAGACCTGGTGAAACAGGTTACATTTGCAGGCTGTCAGTACAGATGTGGCTCTAAACTAAACTTCTCAAACTTAATCTAAAAATACACAGTAAAAACTAAATCAATCATTAATCACCAAGAAGTTGAAAAAAGTCATCTAAAACCAGATTTAAGGTGCAGTAAAACTACAGTCCAGTCAAGGTGGGAGAACTATTTTATTGGTTTACAGCAAAATCTCCTGAAATACCTTGAGACAGTTTGGTATTGGTGTGTTATATTACTGCAGTCGCTGCTTGAGATTACAAACAACAAAAGGAAACCTTGTGCAACTCTCAAAGAGGCCACAGGGCGCTGTTAAAACAGCAGTGGTTTATGCATTGGGATAAAATCTGGTTTTATCGAGCTTTAAAGTGTTGATGACACAATATAAACATTTTCTAGAATTTTTCTGCAGACCAGAACGTTAATAACGATGAGCAATGACATCATTTTAGGCATGCCTGGATAAAATAGCTTTCATCAAAAAAGCTTTGCCATTCAGAGGACTCTATAGCACCAATTAATTACTGAGGGTGAAAAGGGGGGTGATGTATACAATTGAAAAATTGAGAGCTGAAACAATGGTTTTGTTATAGACAGTTGCTGAAGTTTTTATGGATAAAGATACAGTTGATGCCTTCATGTCATGTTGCAGCTTTTTGCATCCTCCCCCATATGGATGGTATTGGTTTATTTAAGTTTCCTAAGGATCAGGTCAGATGATCAAGAGAGATGGACTCTAGCCTACAGAGTCTGTAAGCTAGAGGTCTGTTGTGGATGGTTCTGATCTGTATGGTGTGATGCCTCCATATTCCTCAGCATCACTACACTCTCCTGGGCTTGAACTCGGTGATGGTTCAACCACCAATTTCAGAAAAGATGTTCTGGAACAATCATCAGGGTCTTCCTCCATCTTCATTTTAGAATGGCAAGCTAGCCACAAAAGGGTTCTTCCTTTGACATCAGCAAACAGAGATGGGTTTTTTCTAGCTATAAATCAGAGTCTTGCTATGGAGCTACTAAATGTAGGATATTTAGATATTAGAAATAGGCCTGTTTGGTTCATTATAGCTCGTAACGACTTGGTATGTCATGCTGCAGGATTTTATAGC